TATGCAGGGTGTCGTGGGCTCGATCCCAAACCAGGCGACTGCGGTATATTTGGAGTCTGCGTGTCTCTATCTCATCATCATCATCACGGTGGCTATGAGATGTTAACTACCTCGCATGGAGTGCAGGATGTCGTGGGTTCGATCCCGACCCTGGCGCCTGCTGTGTGTTTGGAGTTTGCGGTGTCTCTATCTCATCATCATCATCACGGTGGCTATGAGATGTTAACTACCTCGCCTGGAGTGCAGGATGTCGTGGGTTCGATCCCGACCCTGACACCTGCTGTATATTTGGAGTCTGCGTGTCTCTCTCTCTCTCTCCCCGTGGTCGCGTATATTAGACGCTTTTATTTAGCTCACTGTCTGTTGTTGTCGTGCAGTCACGAAAGCTTTAAATCGAAATTTAGAAACACGTTTAGAGTATTTGACGGAAAAATGTTTTTCCACACGATAAGCCAGGCCGCTTCTAAGAGAGAACCATGCATAACTCAAGTGGGCCTTACCTGGTGAAATTAAAAAAAAAATCGTTTATTTGTGTCCTCATCCACCTCAGAAGCATGCATTTAAGATTATTTAGAGCATGTGGCTGATATGAATTTCCACGTAATAAGCCACTTCACGTCGGTGGGCTATCATTTGTGGGCAGGTCGCTTCTGAAAATTAAGTTAATAGCTCAGTGGGCCTCTCCTAAACTTCGTACTCCGATTGTATTTTTGTAATTAATGTTTGTTGCTGTAACGTTCTGACCTGCCCCTACTGGGCATCTGTGAACAAAAAGCTTTATAGCTCATCGGATTCTTCCTGCAGTATAAATACACATTATGATTCACTCAAACTTCTCACGTAACTCACACATGTCACTCACTCAAACCTGTCACTCACACCTGTCACTCACTCACACCTGTCACTCACACCTGTCACTCACACCTGTCACTCACTCACACCTGTCACTCACTCACACCTGTCAGTCACTCACACCTGTCACTCACTCACACCTGTCACTCACTCACACCTGTCACTCACACCTGTCACTCACTCACACCTGTCACTCACACCTGTCACTCACACCTGTAACTCACTCACACCTGTCACTCACTCACACCTGTTAGTCACTCTCACCTGTCACTCACTCACACCTGTCACTCACTCACACCTGTCACTCACACCTGTCACTCACTCACTCCTGTCACTCACTCACACCTGTCACTCACTCACACCTGTCACTCACACCTGTCACTCACTCTCACCTGCCACTCACTCTCACCTGTCACTCACTCACACCTGTCACTCACTCACACCTGCCACTCACACCTGTCACTCACTCACACCTGTCACCCACACCTGTCACTCACACCTGTCACTCACTCACACCTGTCACTCACACCTGTCACTCACACCTGTCACTCACTCACACCTGTCACTCACTCACACCTGTCACTCACACCTGTCACTCACTCACACCTGTCACTCACACCTGTCACTCACACCTGTAACTCACTCACACCTGTCACTCACTCACACCTGTTAGTCACTCTCACCTGTCACTCACTCACACCTGTCACTCACTCACACCTGTCACTCACACCTGTCACTCACTCACTCCTGTCACTCACTCACACCTGTCACTCACTCACACCTGTCACTCACACCTGTCACTCACTCTCACCTGCCACTCACTCTCACCTGTCACTCACTCACACCTGTCACTCACTCACACCTGTCACTCACACCTGCCACTCACTCTCACCTGTCACTCACTCACACCTGTCACTCACACCTGTCACTCACTCACACCTGTCACTCACACCTGTCACTCACACCTGTCACTCACACCTGTCACTCACTCACACCTGTCACTCACTCACACCTGTCACTCACACCTATCACTCACTCACACCTGTCACTCACTCACACCTGTCACTCACACCTGTCACTCACTCACACCTGTCACTCACACCTGTCACTCACACCTATCACTCACTCACACCTGTCACTCACTCACACCTGTCACTCACACCTGTCACTCACTCACACCTGTCACTCACACCTGTCACTCACACCTATCACTCACTCACACCTGTCACTCACTCACACCTGTCAGTCACTCACACCTGTCACTCACACCTGTCAGTCACTCACACCTGTCACTCACACCTGTAACTCACTCACACCTGTCACTCACTCACACCTGTCACTCACACCTGTCACTCACTCACACCTGTCACTCACTCACACCTGTCACTCACACCTGTCACTCACTCACACCTGTAACTCACTCACACCTGTCACTCACTCACACCTGTCACTCACTCACACCTGTCACTCACTCACACCTGTCACTCACACCTGTCACTCACACCTGTCACTCACTCACACCTGTCACTCACACCTGTAACTCACTCACACCTGTCCCTCACTCCTGTCACTCACACCTGTCACTCACTCACACCTGTCACTCACTCACACCTGTCACTCACTCACACCTGTCACTCACACCTGTCACTCACACCTGCCACTCACTCACACCTGTCACTCACTCACACCTGCCACTCACTCACACCTGTCACTCACTCACACCTGTCACTCACTCACACCTGTCACTCACTCACACCTGTCACTCACACCTGTCACTCACTCACACCTGTCACTCACACCTGTCACTCACTCACACCTGTCACTCACTCCTGTCACACCTGTCACTCACTCACACCTCTCACTCACTCTCACCTACCACTCACACCTGTCACTCACTCACACCTGTCACTCACTCCTGTCACACCTGTAACTCACTCACACCTGTCACTCACTCACACCTGTCAGTCGCTCACACCTGTCACTCACACCTGTAACTGACTCACACCTCTCACTCACTCTCACCTACCACTCACACCTGTCACTCACTCACACCTGTCACTCACACCTGTCACTCACACCTGTCACTCACTCACACCTGTCACTCACACCTGTAACTCACTCACACCTGTCACTCACTCACACCTGTCACTCACTCACACCTGTCACTCACACCTGTCACTCACTCACACCTGTCACTCACTCACACCTGTCACTCACACCTGTCACTCACACCTGTCACTCACACCTGTCCCTCACACCTGTCACTCACTCACACCTGTCACTCACACCTGTCACTCACTCACTCCTGTCACTCACTCACACCTGTCACTCACTCACACCTGTCACTCACACCTGTCACTCACTCTCACCTGCCACTCACTCTCACCTGTCACTCACTCACACCTGTCACTCACTCACACCTGTCACTCACACCTGCCACTCACTCTCACCTGTCACTCACTCACACCTGTCACTCACACCTGTCACTCACTCACACCTGTCACTCACACCTGTCACTCACACCTGTCACTCACACCTGTCACTCACTCACACCTGTCACTCACTCACACCTGTCACTCACACCTGTCACTCACACCTATCACTCACTCACACCTGTCACTCACTCACACCTGTCACTCACACCTGTCACTCACTCACACCTGTCACTCACACCTGTCACTCACACCTATCACTCACTCACACCTGTCACTCACTCACACCTGTCAGTCACTCACACCTGTCACTCACACCTGTCAGTCACTCACACCTGTCACTCACACCTGTAACTCACTCACACCTGTCACTCACTCACACCTGTCACTCACACCTGTCACTCACTCACACCTGTCACTCACTCACACCTGTCACTCACACCTGTCACTCACTCACACCTGTCACTCACTCACACCTGTCACTCACTCACACCTGTCACTCACTCACACCTGTCACTCACTCACACCTGTCACTCACACCTGTCACTCACACCTGTCACTCACTCACACCTGTCACTCACACCTGTAACTCACTCACACCTGTCCCTCACTCCTGTCACTCACACCTGTCACTCACTCACACCTGTCACTCACTCACACCTGTCACTCACTCACACCTGTCACTCACACCTGTCACTCACACCTGCCACTCACTCACACCTGTCACTCACTCACACCTGCCACTCACTCACACCTGTCACTCACTCACACCTGTCACTCACTCACACCTGTCACTCACTCACACCTGTCACTCACACCTGTCACTCACTCACACCTGTCACTCACACCTGTCACTCACTCACACCTGTCACTCACTCCTGTCACACCTGTCACTCACTCACACCTCTCACTCACTCTCACCTACCACTCACACCTGTCACTCACTCACACCTGTCACTCACTCCTGTCACACCTGTAACTCACTCACACCTGTCACTCACTCACACCTGTCAGTCGCTCACACCTGTCACTCACACCTGTAACTGACTCACACCTCTCACTCACTCTCACCTACCACTCACACCTGTCACTCACTCACACCTGTCACTCACACCTGTCACTCACACCTGTCACTCACTCACACCTGTCACTCACACCTGTAACTCACTCACACCTGTCACTCACTCACACCTGTCACTCACTCACACCTGTCACTCACACCTGTCACTCACTCACACCTGTCACTCACTCACACCTGTCACTCACACCTGTCACTCACACCTGTCACTCACACCTGTCCCTCACACCTGTCACTCACACCTGTCACTCACACCTGTGCTCAAAGCAGCTGCCCCCGCCCCCCTCTGCACGTGGCCCAAGGTGAGCCGTGACGTCACTTCCGCTAGACCCCTGACGTCAGATCCTCTCCGGGCGAATCCAAGAGGCGGCTTAGAGACCGGGGGTGGTGTAGGGGTGGGGGGTGTGGGGGGGTGGGGTGAGTGTGGGTGGGGGGGAGTGTGGGTGGGGGGGAGTGTGGGGGGGAGTGTGGGTGGGGGGTGTGGGTGGGGGGTGTGTGGAGAGTGTGGGTGGGGGTGTGTGTGTGGGGGTGTGTGTGTGGGGGTGTGTGTGTGGGGGTGTGTGTGTGGGGGTGTGTGTGTGGGGGTGTGTGTGTGGGGGTGTGTGTGTGGGGGTGTGTGTGTGGGTGTGTGTGGGTGGGGTGTGTGTGTGGGGGTGTGTGTGTGGGGGGGTGTGTGGGTGGATGGGTTGGTTGAGTTGGCGTCAGAGGAATGTTTGGCGACAGTGGAGGCGACCATTCGGCGCACAGAGATCCGCCGGTGTGCGAACCCAGCGACGCGAGTGGAGGGCGTCAGCAATCGCCACCACGGCAATCGCCACCACCGCAATCGCCACCACCGCAATCGCCACCACAGCAATCGCCACCACAGCAATCGCCACCACCGCAATCGCCACCACCGCAATCGCCACCACAGCAATCGCCACCACCGCAATCGCCACCACCGCAATCGCCACCACAGCAATCGCCACCACAACAATCGCCACCACCGCAATCGCCACCACAACAATCGCCACCACAGCAATCCTTTCCCCCCCCCCGGCTGGGAGCCGCAGTGGACGAGTCCCACGGCCAGGTGAGCGCGAAGCCACTCGCGCGGGACTGTACGCCACTGTACACACTGTACAGGTACTGTACAAAAAGTTACATCGCTCGCTGGGAGGGGGGTGAATTTCGGTGCTGGTGGTGGTGATGCTGGTGGTAGTGGTGGTACTGGTGGTAGTGGTGCTGGTGGTGGTGCTGGTGGTAGTGGTGGTGGTGCTGGTGGTGGTAGTGGTGGTGGTGCTGGTGGTAGGAGTGGTGGTAGTAGTGGTGGTAGTGGTGGTGGTGCTGGTGGTGGTGATGCTGGTGGTAGTGGTGGTAGTGGTGGTGGTGGTGCTGGTGGTGGTGCTGGTGGTAGTGGTGGTGGTGCTGGTGGTGGTGCTGGTGGTAGTGGTGCTGGTGGTAGTGGTGCTGGTGGTGGTGGTAGTAGTGGTGGTGGTGCTGGTGGTAGTAGTGGTTGTAGTAGTGGTGGTAGTGGTGGTGGTGCTGGTGGTAGGAGTGGTGGTAGTAGTGGTAGTGATGGTGGTGGTGGTAGTGGTGGTGCTGGTGGTGGTAGTAGTGGTGTTGCTGGTGGTAGTGGTGGTGCGGGTGCTGGTGGTGGTGCTGGTGGTAGTAGTGGTGGTGGTGGTGCTGGTGGTGGTAGTGGTGGTGGTGCTGGTGGTAGTAGTGGTGGTGGTAGTGGTGGTGCTGGTGGTAGTGGTGGTGCTGGTGGTGGTGGTGGTAGTGGTGCTGGTGGTGCTGGTGGTAGTAGTGGTGGTGCTGGTGGTGGTGGTAGTTGTGGTGGTGCTGGTGGTAGTGGTGGTAGTAGTGCTGGTGGTAGTGGTGGTGCTGGTGGTAGTAGTGCTGGTGGTAGTGGTGGTGCTGGTGGTAGTGGTGGTGCTGGTGGTAGTAGTGCTGGTGGTAGTGGTGGTGCTGGTGGTAGTGGTGGTGCTGGTGGTGGTGAACTCCACTATTGGCCGCGCGTACAACTCACTACCACCCCCCCAGCCCAATTGTGAGGGATTGTTGTTCGTGTCCCGTGCGAGTTGGGAGTGCTGAACTCAACACCGTTCATGTAGCTCGCTCGCCCCCAGCTGCGTTCGTGCTGCACCACCAGCTTCCAAGGCTGTGTCACGCTGCTGATGCAGCTGATGCTGATGTTGATGCAGCTGCTGATGATGCTGATGCAGCTGCTGATGATACTGATGCAGCTGCTGATGCTGCTGATGTTGATGCAGCTGCTGCTGCTGCAGCTGCTGCTGCAGCTGCTGCAGCTGCTGATGTTGATGCTGCTGCTGCTGCAGCTGCTGCAGCTGCTGATGATGCTGATGCAGCTGCTGATGATGCTGTTGTTGATGCTGATGCAGCTGCTGATGCAGCTGCTGATGCTGCAGCTGCTGATACTGATGTTGATGCTGCTGATGCTGCTGTTGATGCAGCTGATGATACTGATGCAGCTGCTGATACTGATGTCGATGCTGCTGCAGCTGCTGATGCTGGTGCAGCTGCTGATGATGCTGCTGCAGCTGTTGATGTTGATGCTGCTGCAGCTGCTGATGCTACTGTTGATACTGCTGCTGATGCTGATAATGCTGCTGCTGATAATGATGATGCTGATGATGATGATACTGCTACTGCTGATCATGCTGCTGCTGATGATGCAAATGCTGATGATGCAGATGCTGATGATTCTGCTGCTGCTGCAGACGCTGCTGCTGATGCTGATTCCGCTGCTCCTGCAGATGATGCTGATGATGATTCTGCTGTTGCAGATGCTGATGATGATTCTGCTGCTGCAGATGATGATTCTGCTGCTGCAGATGAGATGATTCTGCTGCTGTAGATGATGATTCTGCTGCTGTAGATGATGATTCTGCTGCTGCAGATGCTGATTCTGCTGTTGCAGATGCTGCTGCTAATGCAGATGCTGATGCTGCTGCTGCTGATGACGATGCTGATGCTGCTGCTGATGCTGCTGCAGATGCTGCTGATGCTGATGATGATACTGCTACTGTCCTAGGTCAACTACAAACACGAGGCAGCGACTTGAACCCCACGCAGTTGTGTTCGCAATGTTAACAATGCACTGCGGGTTAACGAAGCCTGGACCAAAGCAAAGCGATGCTGTAGTGATTCACTACACTCGTACGTCTAAAACACAAAACACTGCCCTAGTAATGTACATCACAGTCGAATACACCCGCCTTTTTGCCCGTCCTAGGACGGAAGCCGTAATATTTACGAAACAATTGAACAGAGTCTAATTGTCATCTTGTGTAAATTTAATGGCAGTGAATGTTGCAAGAAAGAATATCACCAAACACTACGCTGCATTTCACTGTAGCACTGTATTAATGGCAGTGAATCTTGCAAGAAATGTCATCAAACTTCACTGAATTTCACTGTAGCATTGTATTAATGGCAGTGAATCTTGCACAAAACCATGTCATAAAACACCTCGTTTCATGCGACTCTAGCACTGCATTTAACTCGCCTTCAATTAGTTCGAAATCACTGCTCTGATACTTTATTTTCTTTTGCTTTCGCTCGCTGGGGTTGTAATCAATTTGAATTCGATACAATGTCTGGAAAACCACGAAGAAATGTATATATTTTGTAATAATTTAGAAGCAAAAATTAGACTTACCTTTCATTTAAAGTGCTGAAGAAATATATGAAGACACTTTGTTGCTGCGTGGAATTGTTTGATTAACTTTCAACAAAGAAACGTCAAATTTAAAGCGAATTTGCGTAACAAAATGTATTTACGCTCGACCTGCGGGAGTGTAAACATCCACCCGCTCATGATTATTAATTATACACTCTAATACATGACTGTGATCAACACACAATACGAACACTGCTGTAGTAATTCACTATACACTCTAGTACATGACTGTGATCAACACACAATAAGAACACTGTTGTAGTAATTCACTATATACTCTAGTACATGACTGTGATCAACACACAATACGAACACTGCTGTAGTAATTCACTATATACTCTAGTACATGACTGTGATCAACACACAATACGAACACTGCTGTAGTAATTCACTATATACTCTAGTACATGACTGTGATCAACACACAATACGAACACTGTTGTAGTAATTCACTATATACTCTAGTACATGACTGTGATCAACACACAATACGAACACTGCTGTAGTAATTCACTATATACTCTAGTACATGACTGTGATCAACACACAATACGAACACTGCTGTAGTAATTCACTATATACTCTAGTACATGACTGTGATCAACACACAATACGAACACTGTTGTAGTAATTCACTATATACTCTAGTACATGACTGTGATCAACACACAATACGAACACTGCTGTAGTAATTCACTATATACTCTAGTACATGACTGTGATCAACACACAATACGAACACTGCTGTAGTAATTCACTATATACTCTAGTAGTCTAGTACATGACTGTGATCAACACAATACGAACACTGCTGTAGTAATTCACTATACACTCTAGTACATGACTGTGATCAACACACAATACGAACACTGCTGTAGTAATTCACTTTATACTCTAGTACATGACTGTGATCAACACACAATACGAACACTGCTGTAGTAATTCACTATGTACTCTAGTACATGACTGTGATCAACACACAATACGAACACTGCTGTAGTAATTCACTATATACTCTAGTACATGACTGTGATCAACACGCAATACGAACACTGCTGTAGTAATTCACTATATACTCTAGTACATGACTGTGATCAACACACAATACGAACACTGCTGTAGTAATTCACTCACCAATGTGTACTGGACGTGTGTGTGTGTGTGTGAGAGAGATCTTTTCAAATCATCAGCTTCCTCCAGCATAATTAAATATTCTGATTCTGTTTTACCCGAAGGTTTTTGCTGACCTGCCGGGCCTAACTAAAGTGCCCCCCACTCCCCTCCCCCCCCCTCCTCTGCGTGCGCGCCGATTTCACCTGGACAAGGCTCCGGCTCGCTGCCGGCCAGGGATGGCGGAGAGCGATGAGGCGAGCGAGAACGAGCTGCTCAGCCGGAGCCTGTCCATGTGGCACAGCGCTGGGGAGCGCCAGCGTGGAGCGGAGGAGAGGGACGAAGGGGGTGGCGGCTCAGAGCCGCGGCCGCTCGACCTCCACACGGCCGCCTCCATCGGGCAGCAGGACGTCGTCTCCGCCTACATCGCCAGGTGGCTTGCGGTCGTTCGTGCGCGAGCGGGATTCGTGAGGCTTTTTCCTTTTGTTCTTGCCGTGGGGGTTGGATCGCGTCGGTGTGAATGTGCCGGTAAAGCCGCCGCCGCCGCCGCCGCCGCCGCCCGACCCACAGCCGACGGGCAAAGCTCTGTTCGTGCCGATTCGCTACGAGTTGAGCGCTGACCGGTTGCGGGTTGTGATTACCGGCGAAACGTCACGGTGATCAAACGGTAAATGTCGTCCGGTTTAACTCTCCAATACACGACCGGTGTGTGCTGAACTAGTACAGAATCATCCTGGTAAATGTTGTTGAGTTTAATTCTCCAATTCACAACCGGTGTGTGCTGAACTAGTACAGAATCATCCTAGTAAATGTTGTTGAGTTTAATTCTCCAATACACAACCAGTGTGTGCTGAACTAGTACAGAATCGTCCTGGTAAATGTTGTTGAGTTTAATTGTCCAATACACGACCGGTGAGTGCTGAACTAGTACAGAATCATCCTGGTAAATGTTGAGTTTAATTCTCCAATACACGACCAGTGAGTGCTGAACTAGTACAGAATCATCCTGGTAAATGTTGTTGGGTTTAACTCTCCAATACACAACCAGTGAATGCTGAACTAGTACAGAATCATCCTGGTAAATGTTGTTGAGTTTAATTCTCCAATACACAACCAGTGTGTGCTGAACTAGTACAGAATCGTCCTGATAAATGTTGTTGAGTTTAGCTCTCCAATACACAACCAGTGTGTGCTGAACTAGTACAGAATCATCCTAGTAAATGTTGTTGAGTTTAATTCTCCAATACACAACCAGTGTGTGCTGAACTAGTACAGAATCGTCCTGGTAAATGTTGTTGAGTTTAATTGTCCAATACGCGACCGGTGAGTGCTGAACTAGTACAGAATCATCCTGGTAAATGTTGAGTTTAATTCTCCAATACACGACCAGTGAGTGCTGAACTAGTACAGAATCATCCTGGTAAATGTTGTTGGGTTTAACTCTCCAATACACAACCAGTGAATGCTGAACTAGTACAGAATCATCCTGGTAAATGTTGTTGAGTTTAATTCTCCAATACACAACCAGTGTGTGCTGAACTAGTACAGAATCGTCCTGATAAATGTTGTTGAGTTTAGCTCTCCAATACACAACCAGTGTGTGCTGAACTAGTACAGAATCATCCTGGTAAATGTTGTTGAGTTTAATTCTCCAATACACAACCAGTGTGTGCTGAACTAGTACAGAATCGTCCTGATAAATGTTGTTGAGTTTAGCTCTCCAATACACAACCAGTGTGTGCTGAACTAGTACAGAATCATCCTGGTAAATGTTGTTGAGTTTAATTCTCCAATACACAACCAGTGTGTGCTGAACTAGTACAGAATCGTCCTGATAAATGGTGTTGGGTTTAACTCTCCAATACACAACCAGTGTGTGCTGAACTAGTACAGAATCGTCCTGGTAAATGTTGAGTTTAATTCTCCAATACACAACCAGTGTGTGCTGAACTAGTACAGAATCGTCCTGGTAAATGGTGTTGGGTTTAACTCTCCAATACACAACCAGTGTGTGCTGAACTAGTACAGAATCGTCCTGATAAATGGTGTTGGGTTTAACTCTCCAATACACAACCGGTGAATGCTGAACTAGTACAGAATCGTCCTGATAAATGGTGTTGGGTTTAACTCTCCAATACACAACCGGTGAATGCTGAACTAGTACAGAATCGTCCTGATAAATGGTGTTGGGTTTAACTCTCCAATACACAATCGGTGAATGCTGAACTAGTACAGAATCGTCCTGATAAATGGTGTTGGGTTTAACTCTCCAATACACGACCAGTGAGTGCTGAACTAGTACAGAATCATCCTGGTAAATGTTGTTGTGTTTAACTCTCCAATACACAACCAGTGTGTGCTGAACTAGTACAGAATCGTCCTGATAAATGGTGTTGGGTTTAACTCTCCAATACACAATCGGTGAATGCTGAACTAGTACAGAATCGTCCTGATAAATGTTGTTGAGTTTAATTCTCCAATACACGACCAGTGTGTGCTGAACTAGTACAGAATCATCCTGGTAAATGTTGTTGAGTTTAATTCTCCAATACACAACCAGTGTGTGCTGAACTAGTACAGAATCATCCTTGTAAATGTTGTTGAGTTTAATTCTCCAATACACAACCAGTGTGTGCTGAACTAGTACAGAATCGTCCTGATAAATGTTGTTGAGTTTAATTCTCCAATACACAACCAGTGTGTGCTGAACTAGTACAGAATCGTCCTGATAGCGAGCAGCAGCACCTATGAAGGCCGGCACGGCACACGAGGGGGTGTGTGGCCAGCACCACGCCTGGCCGCCTTTGTCTCCCACAGTGGCGATGTTTACTACACGCCGCACCGGGTACTCATTTGAGGCTGAGCCGACCCAGCGGAGGCCCGGGACCGGTTCAGATAAAATCGTCGCCGGGTGAGACTTGAACTCGAGTCGCCGGATTCGTAGCGCAGCGTAGCGCTAACCGCTACCTGACAACAAACTAAGCACACACACACACAAAAAGCAGTTCTGAAGAAAGGAGTTTGTCAATCTTCTTTGGTTCTTTCAGTAAAGTCACCACGTAGAATGAGGATAAAATAATAAATTAATAAAATAACACTATCAAATTCTCACGACGTTTCGGCCACAACACAAGTGGCCTTAAATTTTGATTTAAAGCTTTCGTGACTGCAGTAATTCATATTCTTAGTTTTTTCGGTAAAGTCACGTTGAAGGGAAACAACAAAATAACAAAATATATATAAAACAATAAAAAAATAAAAATTAAAAACAATTTTTATTGTTTTATATATATTTTGTTATTTTGTTGTTTCCCTTCAACGTGACTTTACCGAAAAAACTTAAGAATACAAGCGGCCTTCATCAGGTGTCGTCCCGACAGGTTTGTTCCTTTCACCTGAAGAAGGCCGCTTGTGCTGTTGCCGAAACGTCGTGAGAATTTTTACCGCGTTATTTTATTTTATCAATTTATTATTTTATTCTCATTCTACGTGGCGGTGACTTTACCGAAAGAACCAAAGATGATGAATCCCTGCAGTCATGAAAGCTTTGAATCGAGTTTGTCAATGTAGCTGATGACGATTTTGAAGTGCCACGGCTCCCGGTGGCTTCCTGATTATCGGAAAGGAACAGGAGCGTTCCAGACGGCCGCGGGAAGCGCTGTGCCGGTGACCGACGGTTAGCCAGGAGCCGCCGACACAGCTGCTGCTGCTGCCGCCGCTGCTGCCGCTACTACTGCGGTGACGACCGGAGTTGCCACGATGACGACGATGACGACGATGACGATGACGACGACGATGACGATGACGACGACGATGACGACGACGATGATGACGACGACGATGATGACGACGATGATGACGACGACGACGACGACGAGGACGACGATGACGACGATGACGACGATGACGACGACGAGGACGACGATGACGACGATGACGACGACGAGGACGACGATGACGACGACGACGACGACGAGGACGACGATGACGACGATGACGACGACGATGACGACGATGACGACGACGAGGACGACGATGACGACGATGACGACGATGACGATGACGATGACGACGATGACGACGACGACGACGATGACGACGACGACGACGACGATGACGATGACGACGACGATGATGACGACGACGATGACGATGACGACGATGACGACGACGACGATGATTTATGCCCCTTGATGAGATCAGTGGTGAGGTGTCGTGCGCAGCGCCAGCGGATTCCCAAAACCGTCACGCGGTCGTGACGCAGCCTCACCGGGTTGCGGTTCGCCACCCCTCTCGCCCCCACCCCCCACCCCTCCCTCCACCCCTCCCCCACCGCCAGCGAGGCGGAGGACCTGAACCGACGGAACCTGGGCGGGTGGACGCCGCTGATGTACGCGTGCTACATCGGCCACGACGCCGTGGTGGCGCTGCTGCTGAGCGCCGGCGCCCTCGTCAACTCGGCCAACCCCCTGGGCCAGACGCCGCTCATGCTAGCGGCGTCCTGCGGCAACGAGAGCGCCGCCCGGCTGCTTCTGCAGGTGACGGAGCGCCGCCGGGCCGCCGGGCCGCCGACAAGATGATGGCGGCGGTGGCGGTGTGTGTGTGGCGGCGTGTGTGTGTGTGTGTGGCATGTGTGTGTGTGTGTATGTGGCGGCCTGTGTGTGTGTGTGTGTGGCGGCGTGCGAGTTGTTTTCGTGAGTCGTTTTGCACGAGCGTGAACTGTGCGTGAGAATGTGTGAGAATGTGAGTGAGAATGAGCTGCGTGTGAGCTGCGTGTTGTGTGAGTGAGCCGTGTGAGAGTGGCCGTGACGAGAGGGACTTCTGCGTTCGTGTGTGTGTGTGTGTGATGGTGTGGTGATGTGCACTGTGTGTGTGTGATGGTGTGGTGATGCGCACTGTGTGTGTGCGATGGTGTGGTGATGTGCACTGTGTGTGTGTGATGGTGTGGTGATGTGCAATATGTGTGTGATGGGTGGTGATGTACACTGTGTGTGTGTGATGGTGTGGTGATGTACACTGTGTGTGTGTGATGGTGTGGTGATGTACACTCTGTGTGTGTGTGATGTTGTGGTGATGTGCACTGTGTGTGTGTGTGTGATGGTGTGGTGATGTGCACTGTGTGTGTGTGTGATGGTGTGGTGATGTGCACTCGTGTGTGTGATGGTGTGGTGATGTGCAATATGTGTGTGTGATGGTGTGGTGATGTACACTGTGTGTGTGTGATGGTGTGGTGATGTACACTGTGTGTGTGTGATGGTGTGGTGATGTACACTCTGTATGTGTGATAGTGTGATGATGTGTACTCTGTGTGTGTGTGGTGATGTACACTGTGTGTGTGTGATGGTGTGGTGATGTACACTGTGTGTGTGTGTGTGATGGTGTGGTGATGTGCACTGTGTGTGTGTGTGATGGTGTGGTGATGTGCACTCGTGTGTGTGATGGTGTGGTGATGTGCAATATGTGTGTGATGGTGTGGTGATGTACACTGTGTGTGTGTGGTGATGTGCACTCTGTGTGTGTGTGTGGTGATGTGATGTTGTACACTTAGTGTGTGTGTGTGGTGATGTGATGTTGTACACTTAGTGTGTGTGTGATGGGGTGGTGATGTGCACTCTGTGTGTGTGTGATGGTGATGTGCACTGTGTGTGTGTGTGATGGTGTGGTGATGTACACTGTGTGTGTGATGGTGTGGTGATGTGCACTCTGTGTGTGATGGTGTGGTGATGTGCACTCTGTCTGTGTGTGTGGTGATGTACACTGTGTGTGTGTGTGTGAGATGGTGTGGTGATGTGCACTCTGTGTGTGTGTGTGTGTGATGGTGTGGTGATGCACACTGTGTGTGTGATGGTGTGGTGATGTGCACTGTGTGTGTGTGATGGTGTGGTGATGTGCACTCTGTGTGTGTGTGTGATGGTGTGGTGATGTACACTCTGTGTGTGTGATGGTGTGGTGATGTACACTCTGTGTGTGTGATAGTGTGGTGATGTACACTCTGTGTGTGTGATAGTGTGGTGATGTACACTCTGTGTGTGATGGTGTGGTGATGTACACTGTGTGTGTGATGGTGTGGTGATGTACACTCTGTGTGTGTGTGGTGATGCACACTCTGTGTGTGTGTGATGGTGTGGTGATGTACACTCTGTGTGTGTGTGTGGTGATGTACACTCTGTGTGTGTGTGTGATAGTGTGGTGATGTTAACTCTGTGTGTGTGTGATGGTGTGGTGATGTGCACTCTGTGTGTGTGATGGTGTGGTGATGTACACTCTGTGTGTGTGTGATGGTGTGGTGATGTACACTCTGTGTGTGCGTGATGGTGTGGTGATGTACATTGTGTGCGTGATGGTGTGGTGATGTACATTGTGTGTGTGATGGTGTGGTGATGTGCACTGTGTGTGATGGTGTGGTGATGTGCACTCTGTGTGTGTGATGGTGTGGTGATGTACACTGTGTGTGTGTGATGGTGTGGTGTTGTGCACTCTGTGTGTGTGATGGTGTGGTGATGTACCCTCTGTGTGTGATGGTGTGGTGATGTACACTCTGTGTGTGTGATGGTGTGGTGAAGTGCACTGTGTGTGTGATGGTGTGATGGTGTACACTTGTGTGTGTGTGATGGTGTGGTGATGTGCACTGTGTGTGTGTGTGATGGTGTGGTGATGTGCACTCTGTCTGTGTGTGTGGTGATGTACACTGTGTGTGTGTGTGAGATGGTGTGGTGATGTGCACTGTGTGTGTGTGATGGTGTGGTGATGTGCACTCTGTGTGTGTGATAGTGTGGTGATGTGCACTCGTGTGTGTGTGATGGTGTACACTCTTGTGTGTGTGATGGTGTACACTCTGTGTGTGTGTGATGGTGTGATGGTGTACACTCGTGTGTGTTTAAAGGTGTACACTCGTGTGTGTTTAATGGTGTAGTGATGTGCACTCGTGTGTGTACCTGGCGCAGCCTGAGTGAGGCCTGGTTGATTGTGCGCCTGGTGCGGCCTGAGTGAGGCCTAGCTGATCATGCACCTGGCGCAGCCTGAGTGTGGCCTAGCTAGATCGTGCGCCTGGCGCAGGCTGAGTGAGGCCTAGTTAATAGTGCACATGGCACGGCCTGAGTGAGGCCTAGGTAGTACTGCACATGACACAGCCTGAGTGAGGCCGAGTAAATCGTGCACCTGGCGCAGCCTGAGTGAGGCTTAGTAAATCATTCACGTGGCACAGCCTGAGGCCTAGTTAATCATGCACATGGTGCAACCTGAATGAGGCCTAGTAAATCATGCACAAGGCGCAGCCTGAGTGAGGCTTAGTTGGTCATACACGTGGCGCGGCCTGAGTGAGGCCTAGTAAATCATTCACGTGGCACAGCCTGAGTGAGGCCTAGTTAATAGTGCGACGGACCTCAAGCTGTGTTCCTGCCAAGGCAACATTGCCACGGACCCCAAACTGTGTTCCTGCCAAGGCAACATTGCCACGGACCCCAAGCTGTGTTCCTGCCAAGGCAACATTGCCACGGACCCCAAGCTGTGTTCCTGCCAAGGCAACATTGCCACGGACCCCAAGCTGTGTTCCTGCCAAGGCAACATTGCCACGGACCTCAAGCTATGTTCCTACCAAGGCAACATTGCCACGGACCCCAAGCTGTGTTCCTGCCAAGGCAACATTGCCACGGACCCCAAGCTGTGTTCCTGCCAAGGCAACATTGCCACGGACCCCAACCTGTGTTCCTGCCAAGGCAACATTGCCACGGACCCCAACCTGTGTTCCTGCCAAGGCAACATTGCCACGGACCCCAACCTGTGTTCCTGCCAAGGCAACATTGCCACGGACCCCAAGCTGTGTTCCTGCCAAGGCAACATTGCCACGGACCCCAAGCTGTGTTCCTGCCAAGGCAACATTGCCACGGACCCCAAGCTGTGTTCCTGCCAAGGCAACATTGCCACAGACCCCAAGCTGTGTTCCTGCCAAGGCAACATTGCCACGGACCCCAAGCTGTGTTCCTGCCAAGGCAACATTGCCACGGACCCCAAGCTGTGTTCCTGTCAAGGCAACATTGCCACGGACCCCAAGCTGTGTTCCTGCCAAGGCAACATTGCCACGGACCCCAAGCTGTGTTCCTGCCAAGGCACCATTGCCACGGACCCCAAGCTGTGTTCCTGCCAAGGCAACATTGCCACGGACCCCAAGCTGTGTTCCTGCCAAGGCAACATTGCCACGGACCCCAAGCTGTGTTCCTGCCAAGGCAACATTGCCACGGACCCCAAGCCGTGTTCCTGTCAAGGCAACATTGCCACGGACCCCAAGCTGTGTTCCTGCCAAGGCAACATTGCCACGGACCTCAAGCTATGTTCCTGCCAAGGCAACATTGCCACGGACCCCAAGCTGTGTTCCTGCCAAGGCAACATTGCCACGGACCCCAAGCTGTGTTCCTGCCAAGGCAACATTGCCACGGACCCCAAGCTGTGTTCCTGCCAAGGCAACATTGCCACGGACCCCAACCTGTGTTCCTGCCAAGGCAACATTGCCACGGACCCCAACCTGTGTTCCTGCCAAGGCAACATTGCCACGGACCCCAAGCTGTGTTCCTGCCAAGGCAACATTGCCACGGACCCCAAGCTGTGTTCCTGCCAAGGCAACATTGCCACGGACCCCAAGCTGTGTTCCTGCCAAGGCAACATTGCCACGGACCCCAAGCTGTGTTCCTGCCAAGGCAACATTGCCACGGACCCCAAGCTGTGTTCCTGCAAAGGCAACATTGCCACGGACCCCAAGCTGTGTTCCTGCCAAGGCAACATTGCCACGGACCCCAAGCTGTGTTCCTGTCAAGGCAACATTGCCACGGACCCCAAGCTGTGTTCCTGCCAAGGCAACATTGCCACGGACCCCAAGCTGTGTTCCTGCCAAGGCAACATTGCCACGGACCTCAAGCTGTGTTCCTGCCAAGGCAACATTGCCACGGACCCCAAGCTGTGTTCCTGCCAAAGCAACATTGCCACGGACCCCAAGCTGTGTTCCTGCCAAGGAAACATTGCCACGGACCCCAGGCTGTGTTCCTGCCAAGGCAACATTGCCACGGACCCCAAGCTGTGTTCCTGCCAAGGCAACATTGCCACGGACCCCAACCTGTGTTCCTGCCAAGGCAACATTGCCACGGACCCCAACCTGTGTTCCTGCCAAGGCAACATTGCCACGGACCCCACGCTGTGTTCCTGCCAAGGCAACATTGCCACGGACCCCAAGCTGTGTTCCTGCCAAGGCAACATTGCCACGGACCCCAAGCTGTGTTCCTGCCAAGGCAACATTGCCACGGACCCCAAGCTGTGTTCCTGCCAAGGCAACATTGCCACGGACCCCAAGCTGTGTTCCTGCCAAGGCAACATTGCCACGGACCCCAAGCTGTGTTCCTGTCAAGGCAACATTGCCACGGACCCCAAGCTGTGTTCCTGCCAAGGCAACATTGCCACGGACCCCAAGCTGTGTTCCTGCCAAGGCAACATTGCCACGGACCCCAACCTGTGTTCCTGCCAAGGCAACATTGCCACGGACCCCAAGCTGTGT